AATTTTGACCCCGGCTCATATGAGCTATAATCTAAATTCCTAGTATCCTCCTTAATATCCTTCTGAGTACTCCCCTATATAACCCTCCATATAACCCTTCTTTGAAGAGTTTAGACTACAGCTCATATGCATGCAAATCCAAAACCAACCACGGCATTCAAGGAATCCACTGGACCCCCAACACTGCTATCGTGGTATAATGGGACTATAAGTGGACCTAATATACCATATTATCCTTCATACTCACCATTACTAGTTGGGTAGTGCTCCACCCATGAACAGTCTCCAGTTGGTTTCCTATTATGGCAGGGTTGCATACAAATGCAACAAAACTGGTGTCTGACTGCCCAACCTAGGATTTTCTCAAATAAGCGCTTCTCATTCAGAGGAGGGACCCTCCATAACCACCTGATATTCAACACAGATTCCTAGGGCCCTCAAAGGCCCCTCCTTGTTTTCAGAAACCTCAGCCGCAAACCAAACCTCAAAACAAGCACCCTAAACCCTAAAAACCCTGAAAACATTGAAAACCCTGAAAACCCAAACCCAAAACCCTTAACCCAAAGTCTATCAGCAAGACACCGCTGAATTTGAGCAAGTCATCCTCCGGGCACTCCAGCTTAGGCTCAGCTCGGGTGTCTGCGTTCACGCCCATGAAGCCTTGCTAGATTTGAGGGGTCTAGCTTAGGATGACCCCCCACCCTGTAATAGTGGTATAATAGGAATGTAATAGGACCCTATTATCCCAGGGTGGGGGGTCCTCCTAAGGTCTAGGGTTTTGGATTTAAGTTTCGGGGTTTAAGGGTAGGGGTTCAAAGACACAGGGATCCAATGACTTGAACCGTGGACTAGTAGCCCCTTGACGACATTTATGCGTTCTGGGACGTTTTTTGGTCTTCCCTTTGAGGTCCAGGTAGGGATTCGGAGCTCGGGTTTTCAATAGGTCCGGGCACTCAAATTCACATAGTCGGGCGTGAAAATACCTGTATAAACGCCATGTGGGCTGAGAGAATATACTGCCTAGAACCTGAACCCTACATACTATATGGATACTTGGACTAAAAGGTCTATGGCTTGGGAGGTTAACAGATTTTGCGGGTGTGGGGGCGTGGGGGCCAAAGGGTTGTGGCCAAGGGCTTAGAATGGTTCAGACTTTTTTTTTTTTTTGGCTTACAGGTTTCGCTGTT